GGCTTCAATCCACTTTTCTCTTTTTCTTTTTTTTTAACTTTTGTTATTACGGACTATATATTATATATATTATATGCAAATTCATCAAGTGTTAGTAATTCACATAACATGCTTGAAAATCAGAACAATTCGGCTCATTTGAATATAGAGGCATGCAAAATAGACAAAATAATAATCATATTAAATTTGCTTATCTAAAAATGCTCCTTAAGACGTCGAAAGTAATATTAAATTCTTTATTTAAACTTTGAAATTTTCTTTTTCTCTGTTTTTCTTTCTCCTTCTTCTTCTCTCACTATTTTACTCTCTCTCTCTAAATCTTGAAAAATGGAAGAAATGGAAGTGTGGAGAGGAAAGGAAGGGGAAGGAAAATTTATAGAATTTCGAAACTATTGGATTCGCACCAAGTGGCAAAATTCGATAAAGAGAAAGGAGAAAAAGATTCTTGGATGCGCGTGCAGGTCCTGGCCCCGTTCTGTGCACGCGGAGGGGACATACGCATTGTGCGCGAGTTCCATGGGTGCTAGCATGCGGATAGAGCGTGCGCGCTGTGCGCATGCACGCGCGCACAATGCCCTGCACCTGCATAGGCAAACAGTTTCCTCGCGGGATTTTTCCTGCGAATTGGTTTTCGCCCATTTCACCATTTTCTAATTTTTTTCTAAATTTTTCCTTTGAAATATTTTTAAAATAAAACGAAATATTTTTAAATAAAATAAAATAAAAATAAAATTAATAAAATAAATAAAAATAAAAATAGATTTAAATTACGAATATCGAGAAATGTTATACAGTGTAAATTAATTTAAGTTTAAAGTTATAAAAAATCCAAGTAAATAGAATTTTCTAATCATTTTAGCACAGTGATAGGCGGAGTATTACAGGACCAATCCTTAAAGGAGGCGCAAAAGCGATTTTTCTTATGTTATTTTCATCTCTGTGTCTATTGATATGAGTAACTTAGATATAAGAATCGAAGAAATATTTGATCTCACTTTCCCCCAAGAAAAATGGTTTATTAATGTCACACTTTTAAAAGATAAGTCCATCCAATTATTTTTCATTACCAAATGAGATATTATTTCATTGTACAGCCACATATAATGCCTAAAAAAAGTAAAATGCCTTTTTTAATTTTGTATTCAACTTCAATATTTGAAGAGGTAAAATGACTTCTTAATTCATGAATCTATTTTCAATGTCTAAAAGATAAGGTGATTTTTGAATATCTACATTCATTGTCAATGCTTGAAAGAGCAAGATGATATTTCATCAAAATTATATTCACCTTCAATGTCCAAAAATAGAAAGTGACATTTCATGAAAATCACATTCACCTCCAATACCTACTAAAAAGGCAAAGTAACTTTCAATTGATGCATTCACCTTCATTATCTATGAAGGCAAGGCAAAGTAACTTTCAATTGATGCATTCACCTTCGATGCCTCAAAAGTAAAAAATGTGACATTTCGCCCAAATTGAATTCACCTTCAATTCATCAAAATTTTATTCACTTTCAATACCTCAAAAAAGTAAGATGAATTTTAAATTATTTATTCACCTCCGATGCTTAAAAAGGTAAGATAATTTTTCAATTTACATTATCTTTTAATTTCAAAAAGAAAAGATGGTTCATTTTTCCACAAAGATTTTAGTAAAACTAAAGTAATTTTAATTTTTATTTGACATTTTGTACAAAAGTTCAAACAAATAGGGGCAACTGTCAGGCTCTAGTTTTATTGGCGAGTTTTTAATTAAAAATGTCTTTAATTTTTTAATATTTTATTCTATTATTTAAAAAGATGCAAAAAAAAAGTAACAAAGAAATCAAATTATAATAGTAAATAAATACAATAAAAAAATATAAAAAAAATTACAATAAAATTTGTTTATTATATAATATGTATATAATGGGAAGTTTAAAGCTTTGTTTCCAAAATTTTCCAAGGAAGCTTTCAATGTCTATATATATAATATAATATAATATGTAATTAGACATGTATAAAAAAGAATAGATAATATTTATTTCGCTTCTCAAATCTATATTTTAATTTAATTTAGAATCTAAATTGGTCTAAGTTTTTTTTTTTTTTTTTAAAAAAAAAGGCTAATTAGCTAAACCCCCCCCACCCAAGTCAGAAAATCTCAACCCTAAAGAGAGGAGAAGTCCAGCCTACTTTCCCTTCCCCTTTTCCTTTCTTTTCTTCCTTTTTTTCTTCTCTTTTTTGTTTTCTCTTAAAAACGAGGCCTTCTTTTCTCCTTTTTTTCATGCGGACTGGGCTCAAGTAAAACCCAGCTAGCAATTTCTTCCCTAAAACGATGCCGTTTCGGGGAAATCATTAAATAATCCTTCCTCCAAAATGGCGTTATTTTCAGGAAGAGGTTAATTTAACCCTCTCCCCAAAATTGTTCCTTTTGTTTTAGATTTCTCACCAATTTTTTTTTTTTTTTTCTTTGATGGTGAAAATTCTAATCACTTCCAAGTTTGATTAGAAAAATATTAAGTTTTAGAACATCTAGAGTTTGGATTTAGATTATTTAAATTAAGTTAAGTTAGTAAATTTTAACTTAAGTAATAATTGAAGAAACCTAAATTTGTAATTACATTTAAGAAGCAAAAAAGGGAAGTATAAATGTAAATTACCACAATCCAATCTTGGTTTGATTTTGAAATTCTATTTAATTTAATATATTTTTTAATTCTCATTTTATGTGTTTTAGAAAAGTGGGACAAAGTGTAAAAGTAAAATAAAAAATTGAATTGATATATGCAACTAAATACAAAAATTTACATGTGAAATAAATTTTTATTAATCTAAGTTAGTTGGGTAAATTTCATAGTAATTAAATCTTATGTAACAAAATTAGAGCATAAAACGTGATTTTAATTTGAAGCTCTTGTAAATCATGGTTATCTTACTCTCAAAACCATGTGAACATAGGAGGCTAGAGTTAAAGGAACCAATTTCAACTTTATCCTATTTCTAATAATATTTAAAATTCATCTCCCCTCTTAACCATATATAAATATTAATCTTTTTTTTTTTTTTTTTGTACAATAAAATCATACACTCGAATTATAACTGGACTCTTATATTTTTTGACTCAAAAATTTTTAATGACAAGACGGTTCAATAATTAATATTTGATCTTACTTCTAAAAGGATCAACAATGATTCTTTTTTTCTTAAATTTTTTTGTTGAATTTTGTCTCGCATCACTGTCATGACAATAGTAAGGACACACATCATTATGATATTAGCATGAAGTAATAAATTGCTTGGATCATGTCTAGTAAAGAGATTAAGCCAACTTGAATTGACTTGAGTACTCATGAAAGACTTTTTTAATATATAATTGTATGATAATTTATTTGATTAAGTTTATACTAGTTATTATAGAAAAGTCATCTGCGTGTCTCATATTTAAAAACTCCTCATTTAAAGGGATTCAAGAGTGCTCACTTTGGTGAACATTGACATTCTAAAAAACTATGAATTACTTTTGTGTGGTGTACCTTGTTAGCCTTGATAATAATAATAATAATAATAATAATGTTATACTATTTTTCATGTATTATTTCTTACATGTCCACATAATCAATTACTTACATGAGTATATGTGTGGAAACAAACTAAAAAGAAAATCCTTAAAAGCCTTTGCTCAATATGAATGAGTAGGAGATGTTCATATTAAAGATTGACCGGACCCATAACTTGCACTCTTTACTAGTGAATTCTAACCTAATAAAGGTTAGTCATTACAAATTATTTTTACAAAAAAAAAAAAAGAAAAAAGAAACTCTTAGATAATGTTAAAGTTTCATCAGTTATAATTTTTAAATTAATTTTCTTGATATGTAAATAAATGATAAGAAATATTGGATAGAAAAGTCATCACAATTCCTAAAGTATTTAGGTTGTGAATATTAAAAGAATGCATACAGAAATAAAAAAAAGTAATCTTGTAACTTGATTATAGTGAACTAGTTGTTCATGAATAATATATATATATATATATTTCATTTATTTATTACATGAGTGATGAAGATTTTATATAAGTTTAAATCCAATAGATGATATTTAGTCAAATTTCTCAATTTGTTTCGTTCAACATTCAAATAAAATAGGATGCAAGTCAATTATATTATTTTTATATTATATGTTTTTAATTCATACATCGTATTATTTTTAACTTATAGAAGAGCATGAGGTTTGCTATTGAATTAATATTTTATTTTTTAATTCAAAAAAATTGCTATTATTTTTTAAAATAATATTTTTTGGTAAAAAAAAAAAAAATATAGGTTATATTGTTCATAATTTATAATATATCATGATAATAATTTATAGGTAAATAATCAATGATTAAAAAGGTTAATTAAAAAAAGCTAGAGAATGAAAAATAATATATAATTCTAATTTTAGTGAGTAAATTTGGAATTGAAAAGAGCAAACCCAAAGTACAGCACCCATATACATGTGGATGTGTATGTATGCACATACTCTGGAAAAGGGAAGCAGGTCCCAATGTTCTGACAGCTCCCAGCTGGTCTAACTTATTTCCTATTGCATTAATTCATCATGGAACATAACCTATATTTCAAAGAAGGTGGCCGAAAGTATGACGTACACGACTATATAATTTTCAAAAGCAACTTTTATATATATTATACAGAATATTTTTAGTCTTCGTCGAGATTGCTTCATAGTTGCGTGTCGCTCTTTTGGACTCCGGCTCGTATAAGAGGAAATAAAAAGTTGAAATATTAAAAAAATAATATACAGAATATAATTTTTTAAATCACTAAAATTAAATTAAATTAAAAAAATTCATGTATTAAAAGGTGCAATAAATTTATCATATTCTTATATATTTAAAAAAAAAATATTTTAAGAGAACTAATTTTTTAATAGAAAATAATAATATAAATACTTCCTAAAAAATATATAAATAAAGCTTTGTTTTAATATTAATCCTATATATTATTCACTTCTAAGTAGCTCTCCCTATTTCTCTCTCTCTTCTCTGTTTGTTCTTGCAAAGATCTACATCTTGGTACAAGCTTACAGAACAAAAACACTTTTGTCAGTATTAATAAGCTTCAGAAGTAAGTTGCAGTAGCCCTTAGATTCTGAAAATTAGTCAATTCTTCTTTGATTTTCTTCTAATACCTCTGTATTTCATCCCTATAATATACAAGATCTTTTGCAGACAATATATATATATATACACATATCACATCAAACTGAATTAGGGTTTTACTGATAAATAATCACAGACATCAGATTCCAACTTCATAATCTCTCTATCAATGTCTGATTTGGAAACTCGCCACTACGTCCACCAACTTCTGGGATCAGATCCAGTGCAGCTGCATCCTCAAAATTCAAACGATGACGCACCATCCACCACTACTTCCGTCTCTGCAACACCAACCTTTGGACGAAGACCACGTGGACGTCCGCAGGGTTCCAAGAACAAGACAAAACCACCAGTGATTATCACTCAAGACACCCCCAACGCGCTCAGATGCCACATCCTGGAAATTTCCAACGGTTCCGATGTGGTAGAATCAGTCTCCAACTACGCCACCCGCCGCGGCCAAGGCGTCTGCGTACTTAGCGGCACAGGAGCTGTAACCAACGTCGTGCTCCGGCAGCTAGCCGGGAGTGGGCCGGTGACACTGCCCGGAAGATTCGAGATTGTGTCTTTATCGGGAACGGCATTACCGCCGCCGGCGCCGGCGGGAGCTGGTGGGTTGAGTGTATATCTGGCGGGCGGTCAAGGACAGGTGGTGGGCGGAATGGTGGCGGGTCCATTGATGGCTTCTGGTCCGGTGGTTTTGATGGCGACGTCGTTTCAAAACGCTGCGTATGATAGGTTACCGTTGGAAGTGGAAAAGAGTGCGACGGCGGTGCAGCCAACAGCTTCGCAGTCGTCGGGACTGACAGGGAATGGAGAGAAAATCGGTGGCGACGGAGGCGGCGGCGGGGCAAGGGGTGTTTCGCATAATTTGGAGAGCTATCCGTTCCCAGGTGGGGCAGGAGATATTTTGGGTTGGGGCTTTACCAGCGTTTAGGATACAGCAAGGCCGCCATTTTAGATTTAAGCTTGTGTTCTTCTTGTTTTACTATCGTTGTAGAATTGTTTCTTTGTTGTTTGTTAAGATTTGATGGTAATTGGAATGAAAAGATTTTGCGGTTTCTTTAAATCTATTTTGTTGGTATATTCAATTTTTATGTTTTATAAAATTTTAAAAATTATAAATTATTCAATAATAATAATAAACTAAATCAATCTTATTTGGTATTTCCAAATTAAATAATTGTATATCATTGTTTTTATGTTTTGAAGTTAAATTAAATTTAAATTTTTGTTATTTTTAAATTATTATTTTAAAGGACTTGGATTCTTAAAATCTATATACAATACCATTTTTTTCCCTACTCACATGTATGCCAACTTCCTGTTTTGGAGTGTAAAATTCTGTGTGGAAGAAACGTTGGAACATGTATGTATGTGTGTATATATATATATATATATCTTCCTCGTGTTATGTCTCTCTCAATGTCATTTAAGTGAAGCAATTTACACAACTGTAAATATAGAATACTTACACGCAGAGAGTCAATATGTGACTGACATTGCCTGGTCTTTGTTGGGCATACTTCCTAATTTCCACCAAATTTATGTGAAGTATTTGACTGATTCAACCAATTACACAATCTTCAAAATATCAATTTGTAACTCAATATTTTAATTACGCGATTATAATGGCTAATCAATCATTAATGTCATAATTTTTCCAGAACTATTTCCGTTATTTGGATATATTCATTTTTTTTTTTTCAGAATTTTTTCTACTAAACAGAACCATTTATATATATATATATTTGTATATTCTCTTCTTTCTTCACTTAACTTGATAAATCACTTAAATCAATCAGTAAATAAATTCTTTTTTAAATCCTTGGCATTGTTGAATGAATCGCATTTGAAGTCTAATTAAAGAATAAAAAGTGATTTTGAAACATTAAAATTTTCCCAAGTCTTGTAAAAGATAAATAGCCAGTAGGGTATTTAGCATGCTGATTCCAACGCCTAAGTTGGTCAATAAAGGAGGTGATATAAAGTTACGAAGCTATGAACTGAAGAAATGTATACATAAGATTGAAACATCTTTTTGTCGGGGATATCTTGAATCAAGTTTAGAGTTAGAGTAGATGACCTAAAGTGGGCAAGTGAGTGGCTTGCCTTTCGCTCTGAGTTTTTGCGTTTTAAAAATATTTCTATAATTAAAAAGACATATTAAAAAGTATTCTTATCAAAAAATAAATTAAAAAAACGTAAAACTATAATATTTATAATTTTTACTACAAATTTGTACATTAAATTTTAAAACTACTCTCACTCAATTTTAATAATTATACACAAACACCGTCTCCTGCACTCCCATTAGGGTAACAAACATCGGCACATGAAAATTAAAATATTGTTTTAATATGTTCTACAAAGTGTAGCGATTTACATATTGTTAATTTGAATATTACAAATATCCCTTTTTATAAAATAATTTACAATCTATATATGAGTTAAATTCTTGCGCCACTTGGACCACATATTTTACGTTGTCTTTAATTGATTCCTCAAATCTAAGATTTCCCTAACTATTCTTCTGATCAATTTTATATCGATCTACACGCTAATATAAAATAGGTGTATATATTAGGGTAAGATTCACATATTCAGTAAGAATAAAATAGTAATCTAACAGAAAATATAAAAATATTTTACAAATAAGAGTAAATTTAATAAAACCTAAATTTTCAAACAAAAAAATTATTAAGGTCTTACGTGAAAACCCTAAAAATTTATTTATTTCAAATTTACAAAATGCAATTCGTTTGTAATGCAATAATGTTATCTTTAAAAGAAAATAAAGAAACCCTTAAACTAAGTGCAAACTAATTTTACGGTTACACACATGCATGACAAAATAAAACCTTTTCAATATGAGCCTTTTCGAATTTCACACAAAATTTCGAACTTTAATTTTCCTAATTTTGAACTTACATCATTTTCACATCTTTATATTAGATTTCATATCTTATTTTGGAGATATCTTTTTCGTATGTTTTCGTATCATATTTTTTTTTGTCTTTTGAACTCTTATGAGATTTACCCTTGTCACTTAATATACACATTTTCATATACGAATATTTAGATGCACACTTTTATACTAGATTAGATACACAATTTACCAAATTTTCACTTTATCACTGATTTTTAATTTACACGTCACTTCACTTATACACATTCATATAAAGAATTCGTTTTACACTTATCACTTTCATGGATACACTTTCATATATGGAATTCACTATACACTTATTACTTAAGAGAAATTTTCAGAGTGTGGTGCCACTTTTAAACCTATATCAATGAGGGTAGAAGGGATCTCCACTATAATTACGGATGGGAATTCAAATAAATACACATTATGTCACGGTAGAACTTCGTCAAGGTGACCACATAACACACAATCATATCTATCTGTAACGTAGGATTCACCCACACTCATACCGTAGAATTTTAGACACACACACCCCTCTCCTTGATACATGGCAAAAATAAATTTTATGATTCTAGATCACTTTTTATTTTATCACATGATACCGCTTCCAACTACTATCAGGGAGGGTAGACAGGACCTTATTGCCAACACAGATAGGCACACATATACACAGATCACGAGTATGAAATGCCACAGCAGTACTTCGTCAAATTGGCCACATAACATGAACAGAATCTCATCCACCTTTGGATTGGGCGTACACAAATCATCTATCCATGATGTAAGGTTCACTAAATACATTTGCTGAATTTTAGCCACACAGATAGAATCCCTCTCGTGATAAATAGCAAACTCTTCTTGAACAGTTTCTTGAGTATGAACGAGTGGTACTGTAACATTGTCTTTATCTGGATTTGTTTCTTAAATAGTGTAGGATATGAAAATCTAATCATGATCATTTTCAAGAGAAATTGAGGGAATATCAATATATTCCTATTCAAAGATAAGGTCCCGAACTCTCTCTCCCCCTGCAAACTCAACATCCTCCAAGAACTGGGCATTTTCTGTCTCAAAAATTGTCTTAGTTGTAGGATATTAAAACTTGTAATCCCTAAATCTTTCAAAAGAGCCAACAAAATAGCAACTAACAGTTCTAAAATCTAGTTTTCTTTTCATGTGGCATACAAGGTTTGGCTACAGCTAGACATCCCCAAATGTGCAAATGTCTCCAATTGGGCATTTTGCCCGTCCAAAGAAACTCATAAAAGGGGTCTTTATAATTACTTTAGGTTGAAATTTATTGAGTAAATATGTTGCGGGTCTTTAATGCTTCTCCCTAGTGTGATCCAGGCAGGTAGAATGACTAATCATATTCCTCACCATATCCTTAAGTATTTAGTTTTGCCTTTCAGCAACACCATTCATGCTAAGCGAACCCGACATGATGTACTGTGGGATGATACTGCATTCCTCTAGGAATTTAGCAAACAGTCATGGATGTTATTCATCTTATCTGTCATATCTACCATAGTATTTACCACCACGATCAGATCTAACCACCTTAGTTCTTATGTTGAGTTAGTTCTCAATTTCTGCCTTAAAACTTTTGAACACATCCAAGGACTGTGATTTCTCATGAATGAGATAAAGATAGTCATATCTTGAATAGTCATCTATAAACGTTATAAAGTATTGTTGACCACTCTAAGAAGCCGTAGGGAGTGATCCACAAATATCTGTATGAATCAGCTCTAATATGTCCATAGCCCTGTTGACACCCAATCTCCTAATGTTTGTCTGTTTCTCCTTGATAGAATTGACATATCTGTCTAAAAATGTAAAGTTAAGGGGATCAATAATTTTGTTCAACACAAGTCTTTCTATTCTCCCTTAGGAGATATGATATAATCTCTTATGCCACAATGCAATAGAATTCTCATAGGTTAATTTACGTTTGACACCTCTTGTACCCACATGCAAGGATTCATTATGAGAAGCAATTGCATCTAGCAAATAAATATTATCATAAGTTGATAAAGAACTAGTATGAACCATATTTGAATCATAAAAAAGATTAAATATTTTATTTCCAAAAGAACAAGAATAACCAAATTTATCCAAGACAGAAATAGAAATCAAATTCTATCTAAATGACGGTACAACATATGTCTCTTCTAAATCCAAATAATATCCAATTCTTAATAATAATCTAAATATGCCAATTGTTTCCACCTCCACTGGTTTGCCATCACTGACATAAATGAATCTGGCACCTTCACAAGGCTTGCAACAACAGAGTCAACCCTGTATGGACACATTGATATGAGTAGTGGCACCAGAATCTATCCACTACGTATGTCTAGGTGTAAACGTTAAATTAACCTCAAAACAAATAAAGTTAAGAAACATACCTTTCTTTGTGTGCCACACATGATAGTTGATGCATTGCTTCTTTTGATGACCTGAAGCTTTATAAAAGAGGCGGACACTTTCATTTTGTGTCTTTTGTTGCTTCTTCTATTGTACTGGAACCACAACACTTTTATTTGTTTTTTTTATTCTTATTATTCTTATCCTTTGAGATCGTAGCTAAATGAATATTCTCTGTCTTCTCATACTTTAACATTTCCTCCTCTTGAACACAATATGAGATGAGCTCATTGAGAGTCCAAGATTCCTTTTAGCAGTTGTAGTTCACCTTAAAATGATTAAATTGTAGAGGAAGAGAGATCAAAACAAAGTACACTAGTAATTCTT